GTCTCCGGTGATGGTCAAGGACTTCGAGAAGAAGTGGAGCAGCGGCCTGTGACTCCAGGTCTTTCCATCCAGAGGGATCGAGCGGGCTATGGAGGCGCTGATCCTCTGCAGTCCACAGCTGTGGAACGTGGGGCTGCGGCGGTGGCTCGACAAGATGGCTTTGGTATTCCGCCGGGTTTGCCTAGTCCGGTGGAAGTCAGCGCACGAGACATTGTGGAGTATGAGGGTGGCAGCGGCTATGCGGCGCGCTTGGATGGCTGCATTCAAAGGGGAGAAATGCAGAATAACGAGCGGGCCGGCAATACACCTCTGGCTTTGGAGAATCTTCTGCCGCCTGAGGCAGACTCCTTGCCTTTGTGGATGGGCATTGAGAAGGCTGCTGAACGAAGTGAGCGGCCGAATGTGAGTGATTCCGACTCCCGATCATCTGGGAGTTTTGAACTTGTCCCTCAACAGTAGAAGAAAAAACCTACTGTTGACGCTCCGGTTTGAAGTACTGGCACCGCCAGTAGGGGGAGTGTGGGACATGTGGTTTTCGATGTGCAGTCACCATGAAAGGTGTCAACCGGTCAAATGACCACTCGCGTTTTGGCTCAAGAAATGGTGCGTGACTGACGCACGGGGCTTTTGTTTTGTCGCTCACAGAAACAATACATGGGCTGCGCGATCATGTACCAATACTGTGTTCAACGCGGCACGGCGGCACACATGTAGTCTGGGAGCTGTCACAGTCATGTCAAGCTTGGCGCCTTCCTGTGTCGCAAGCCCTCATGAAGAAGTATAGCCCCTACTTTGCCATTGTCAGAGGTTGTCAGGTGAAGTTGCGAAACCAAAACACGCATTTCATATCCAAAGGATGGAAACTGATGACTACACATGAACCTTTGTCTATTCGTATGCAGCTTCCATGTCGTTGCGCACCAGGAACATACCATGCCCCATGTGAACGTAATGCCACTAGATCCACTGCATACTACACACATGAGTTTGCACTTCGGGCGTGCCGTGAGATCTTGCGCGGCGGGGGCAGGGAACAATGGAAGGAGTTGAAAGGTAAACCAACCCTTGAGGCTTTTGGTTTGGGGGCTGGTTCTCACACCAGGTGGCCATCGCACACAAAGGACACAACAAAAAGTTTTGACGGTGGACAACTTTGAAACAACGCTTGAGCCATGAAGACATCAAACGTCGGTTATACTTGTTGCATTCTGCTACCGGACATGGCTCTATTCCTAGCATGATTCAGGCCTTGAGAGGTAAAGGAGTTGCACAAAAGGTTTTGGATCTCGCTCACTCGTCTCGTTGCCCGGCGTGTGAAGAGAGGTCTCAACCACGACCTCGCAATCTCGCTTCGCTTGAGCCACTTCCCCCCAAATTCACGACGGTGTCGGCGGACGTGGGGCATTGGTACCATCCTGCCACATAGGAGAAGTGGCAATTCATGTTGATGGTGGACGAAGGGCCGATGTTCCGCGTAGGTCGCATGATCCTTCACGGAAAGCAGAAACATATCAGTGCAGGTCAGTTTGTGCAAGTTTTTCAGGAAGCTTGTATTCCTACTTCGGTCAACCACAAACTCTGAGACTTGACCCAGACGGGTCTTTCCGTAGCCTTGAACTGGCAAGCTACTGCGATAGACACCAGACCTATCTTGACTTGATTCCAGGTGAGGCCCACTGGAAACTCTCAGTGCGCGAGCGCAGTATCCAAGCCAAAAAACATGTCATGGCACGCCTAGCAGCCGAATCACCTGCTCTGACGGCAGAGCAGATCCTGGCTGAGTCCGTCCGGGCCATCAACCATCGAGAAAGTGTGCGTGGTTTATCACCGATCCAGTATGTTTTGGGGCGAGCGACCGATGAGCACGGACGCTTTTTCGCCCCTGCCCGTGACTTGGAGGCACCAGGAGAACTGCCCATGGCGACAGAAACCATGGAGAGAGATCAACAACTTCGTTTGACAGCCGAAAAAGCTTCTTTTTGGATTGGGTGGCAACTGAACGAACTCGACGTGCTACTCACTCCAAACATAGGAGAGTGCTTGATTTTTCAGCAGGAGACCTTGTTTTCATTTGGCGGAAACAACTGACTGGAGAGGATGCTCAACAACACAAGACCGGACAGGGTCGTTTTGTCGGCCCAGCTCGAGTCCTAGCAGTGGAGCAGTCACGTGATGAACAAGGCCATCTCCGACCAGGGATCCGAGCTCAGTCTGGTTGGTACGCGGCCGTCGACTGTTGAAACGCTGCCCTGAACAGCTTCGACGTGCTTCAGAGCGAGAGACCATCCTCACAGGACTTCATGACGCTAGGGAAACACCAACTTCGGATTTCCCCATCGTGGCTGAGGAATTGGGAAACAACGACTATGAAGATCTGCAGGAACAGCCAAGTGAAGCAGAATGGCGTAGAGCTGGGAATCCTCTTCATGAATGGCAACCCTCCTGCAGTGTGTCAGGGCAGCACCCAAGCCGGTTCAGCGGGCCAGAAAAAGTCATCCCCCAACTCCTCTGTCAGAGAGCAGACCGAGAAGTCGAAGCCCTCCACGACCTTCCTCAGGCTCAGGGATGAACAGACCATCAGAGCCAGCTGACTCTGGGTTTCAAGCTGCACCCCACTGGACAGAACTGAGTCCTGCTTCTCTGAGGCCATCAATACGAATGATGCTCGTGATTTTGTGTATCACATCGAGATCGACGTGCCTTCAAGCAAGGCTAGCTCAGAACGCATCCTGAATTGGACTCGAATGCTTACTTTGTGGGCGCCTTGAAGTGACTGGTGCCTTTTTACCATCTCGGCCATACCCAGATGAACTTCTTTGCATCCCATGTCCAGAGATTTGTGAAGCAATGGGTTTAGCCCCAGGCTCATTGACGAAAGTCTGTCACGCACCACTTGAGTGGTACCGCAGCATCAGCACCGTCGATGCTGGAGCGATCCTTGTTGTTGGACTCTTGTCCGTGAGGACAAACAAATTGCGAGGCATTATCTCGGGCCATGTTGATGATTTTCTTTTCTCGGGCAGTTCGTCTGATGACATCTGGCTTTCAGTTGAAAAGGCGATCAAAGAAGAGTTCCCTTGAAGTGATTGGGAAGAGGGTCGATTTGTACGACGCGGCGTCCTGATCGAGCAGGAACAGGATGGTTCATACTCTCTTTCGCAGAAACCTACGTGGAGTCGATACCAGCCATCAACATCCGAGCATCACGGGAAAGAGAACGAAATGCTCCAACAGATGACTTGGAAAAGACTCACCTCAGAGGACGCCTGGGTGGCATCAGCTGGTACAGTCAACAGGTGGCACCTCACTTCTCTGCCGATGTGGAACTCCTTCTGTCAGAAATAAACCACAGCATAGGGGACACTTTGTTCCGAGCCAACCGCTTGCTGGACCAAGTGCGAAACATGAAAGAGCAGAAGTAAAAATCCGCAAGATTGATTTGAACAATGTGGTTTTGGTCGCTTGGGTACATGCAGCCAATCAGAACAGGATTGGCGGTGGTAGCACACAAGATGTTGTCATCATTGCAGCTTCCAAATCCAAAGACCTGATGTCAGGCCAGTGCGTGCCTGTCACCTTGCTGTCTTGGCAATCTTCAAAGATCGCCAGGGTATGCTCTAGTCCAGGAGCAAATGAAACCATGGCAGCTGTTCACGGCGAAGATCTGCTTTGTTTTTGTAGGCTCCACTTGGGAGAAATGCTTTGGATTCACTATGAGGATCCAAAGCCCAAACACGTTGGTGAACAAGATCCCTGGCTTTCTGGTGACTGACAGTCGAAACGTGTTTGACAAATTCGATCTGAGGTTCTGAGTCTAAACGGGGCGGAACGTCGTGTGGACATCACACTCATGCGTATCAAAGATGCACAAAACATGAATGATCTTAAGGTAAGGTGGGTACACAGTGAAGCACAGTTAGCCAATGGCTTGACTAAGGGCAAAGATCTAAGGCAACTCATGCCGTTTTATGACATGGAACAGTGCTGGAGGATAGTGGAAGACCCTAAATGTCTTCAGCGAGAAGACGGAAAGCTCAGGGCCAGACACCACTGGAAAGCACCATCCCATCCAGCAACAGCACGCACTACATACAGAGCGACAACAAGTAGAGGTTTGCGTTTTCTCGTTTGTGTGTTTTTGGTTTCCGGCATGCAAGAAGTACACAGCTTCTTCAGGTTCACTCATCGAACATAGATTCGTGAGCTTTTGGGGTCGAGGGAAAGGTCGCTCGTTTTGTCAGTTGCTCGTGCCACTGCCGTCGTGGAGCCATCGGATCCTATCTCCTTTTGCCTGAGAACTCTGGCTATATATATATATGATATATGATATATGTGTGTGTGCCCCGTGTAGTCACAGGGATCCACTCGGATTGTGTTTTTGTTTTCTTTTATCAAGCAGGGGGTCCAGGCAGTTGTGGGTTGGCCCTGGACCAACGAAGACGGGCTCACAACTGGTGAAGCGAGAAGGGACGCCTTCTTGTGTACCTGCTTCAATTTTAATCTTTTGGTAAAGTGCTAATGCATCTGCAGTCATGCACGGTACGCCGTCATCCTGTATCTCGTCGCATCGTGGAGTTTGACTTCTGGCCTTTAACTAAAGGCGCTCAGGCCCCCTCACCTGGTTTTTCAGGATGTGGTTTCTTAGGCTGGCGTGTGGCACCGCTGTCAAGTCAGTATGCATTTCTGTAAGTGTGTGCGTGCGTGTAGTGCATCAGCATATGTCATAGATCATCGCAATGATGGTTGTGTGAGATGTGGAATTAAAGAAACGCCCAACCACATTCTGTGAGGAAGGCCCCTTCCATTGTGTCTGCTGACGCAACACGGAATACAAGCAGCTGAACACAAGCAGCTTTGTTAGGGCTCCATGTTCGGGGATGATCACATCTCCACCCCGCCGAACATCATCTACAAATCATGCCAGCCCGAAAGGGACGGTGAAGTTTGTTGATCTTCTGACACATGTCCGAAAGCATCCATGAAAACTCGAGAGCTGGGGCCTTTAGAGGATCAACTTGCAGCAACTGGATGAGGATGTTCGCCCAGCGTTCTAGCAAGCTATTGAGACAAGTCCGGCCCTCCCAGGAGCCAACGATGGCCATGCGTGGGTTGAAGAAGAGGCTTTCGTGCAAGCCTGGGCCATCAAAACTAGACAAAAATCTCTGCAAAAGTTGCGGGGACATGTTAGATTGAAGAAACAGTGATACGGTACAAGACTCTTAACGTTCTTATCTCCTCCTAGATCCACAGGAGTTTGCAAACCAAATTGGAGACTACTGAAAATCCAACCTTGCACTCAGGATCGTGAGTTTGAGTCAGCTAATGATGGTTGGGATGGTTGGACTTGTGCATTGGGTGCCACGGTGGTCAAAACACATGCTTCGTAATCCGCACCACCATCACCAAGGCATAAAACCACTCGGCGGCACCATGTTTGATGCAAGCTCAGCCACGGAAGGACTTCTGCAAATGATCCATGCTCACCTCCTCCACTGGGTGTGGATGATTCAGACTCCCATCAACTAAATATAACTAAATATCGCAGGTCTCATATACATCTTCTACAGTAGCTCATGCTCTCATTTCATCACCAGCCCACTCAACATCTTCCAACACTTCAGCATCGGCCAAGTCTGACTCCCATTCCACATGCTCCTCCACTAGCTGCAGCAAGGCTTCAGGCTCCTCTGCCACCTGCAACAACTCCTCCGGACTCACTTGCGGCTTCAACAGCTCCAGGCTGTCTCGGAGTTCCTCTCCACTGACGTTCAAAGCTTCAGCCACCATCATCCACGGTGAGAAGCCCGCGTGGTTCACAGCGCTGGGATCCGCGCCGCGCTCCAACAGAAATCGAATCACGTCCACCTCACACAGGAAAATGCGCGCCATGCATCGCACGCATCTCCCAGGCTTTTGGTTGGGGCATGTGGCGCATTGAAAGCTCAGGGGAAGAAAGAATGGAGGATGTTGTGGGAGGAAGCTATGATGGCATGTTGGGAGTAGCGGAGGACGAGCACTCGGTGGGAAACCAGGCCTTTGATGTAAATATATACTGTCGTCCAACGATGTTTCGCTCTTAGCGGTTGCCTAAAAGGCTTTCCACAGTGCCTTCCCGTGCATCGCGGCGTAGTGCAAAGGCGTGGCCCCGCTGCTATCCCTCTGATCCAGGTTGGCTCGGCAGTCAAGCAAGGCTTGAATCACTGGCAGATTCCCTTCCGTGATCATGTCCATCAAAGCCGTATTGCCTGAACTGGGCGGCAGGGAGCTTCGGGCGTTGGGTTTCAAAGACTCAACGTCCGGCTTCGCTATGGCTGCTGTCAATAGGTCCTTCAATTCTTTTGCATCACTTGCTTCTCTGACTCTGCCCCCGGAAATCCCCCACCCACATCTCCCACATCCACATCAGGTCGGAACAGGCTCCCCCCCCCCCGCACCGCACCGCACCTTCAAGGCCCGGAGAGTTGGGATCCGCTCGTTGGCCCTTCCGCACGTGGCCATCGTCGTAGAGGCCCTTGCAGAGCGACACCGCGCCCGAGGCGCGCAAGCCACCTGCGAGGTAGGAGCGTGGCTGAGTAGGTGGTGCTACTTGGCAGGCATTCTGGGAGGGTATGTGCACCAGGATGAATTGTTTCAATACTCATGCCTCACTTCTACAGAGAGAGGTCCTTTTTGACACTGGTGCAAATTTCGTAGGTTCGTAGGTTGAATAATTCATTGACAAGGTCTGGCAAGGCGTGGTGTTCTTGCATCGCATTTTTTGTGTATTTATGTTGTTGACAATTGCCAATGGTTGGAATATGCTGTTGCGAAACAATATGTAGACATGAGACCCAACAAGTCTTGTATAAGGCCAAATCATTAACGTTTGTTTGTTTTAGTGATTGTATTGTTTAAATAAAACCAATACAAACAAATCTATGAAATCATGTAATTACTAAAAACTACTTTAAAAATACACATAAAAAACAAATTGGCGCTGTGAACGAAACATATTTTTCCAGTACCATGTGTCATAATGGTTTCATAATGGTTTCATTTAAAAACTATTGTTCTCAACATTTATGAAAAGCTATGACTGTTTTATGAACAATGTGAAACGTGGTATGACAATGGACTGTTTGCGCGACAAACTTATGATTTTAAACAACACAACAATATATGTTTCTATAAAATCGAGCGTGATGGTTTTTATAAGGATCTACTCTCTCTCTCAGACATTCATGGAAGTGGAAGATTATTTTTTCTAACAATCATGGAAGTGCACACTTATTTTCGCAAGCCAGGTTCACAAACATGGACTCCACACAAAGTCAGTCGAAGAACAAGTCCACCTACTTTTCTACACATACGTGGAATGCACATGCTCATTCCCAATGACTACGTTAGTCCTGAAAGTGGATGTGTTTTGGTCTTGTCCGTTGGGTTTAGCCCTGTGTAGGCGGCTTCTATGTTTATCTATATACAACCGTTTTACACTAACATGGAAGCCACCAATGCTTCATAACCATAGACGCTTGCATTTTTTAAAAAATCCTCTGCTTCTACGATTGTCTGGCAGAGTGTATATGTTGAAGTGGTCTGTACCAACTTCCCGGGTCTCAAATGTAGGCCTGCGGAACCAACTTGCAGCAAGTTGCAGCACACACTTGCACTTCCAATGGTCCCCACACACGTGGGCTACCAAACCAACACCTGCGTCCACCTGCTGGTCCAAGGTCAGCCACCCCCTCGCGGGCCGTCGGCCTGGGAAGATGGGTGAGGCAAAGAGTCTCATCTGGGTGCTGGCCACGTAGCTGAAAGAGGCCATCTCCCCAATGGTCTTGGCCATTTGGTTCCCAAACTTCCGCCTCACAAACGCACAGGGCACGGGACTGGGCAAGATGGGCGCCACGAAAACCACGCGGCGGCTCAAAGCGGAGCATGAAGGGAGTGACGGGAAAAATAACTAGAATACGAGTATATAGGTTCAAGTAGCAGTCTATCCCGGCAAGAGGCCCCAAAAGTGTGTGTGTGAGGTCTAGCGCAGCAGCAGAAAGTCTAGAGATCTAAACACATTGCGGTCCAGAGAGGTGATGGTGGTGATGAAGGTGGAGATCGTGGTGAGTGGCGGTGGTGGTGAGTGAGTGAGAGTGAGTGGGCGTGAGAGTGGGAGTGAGGGTGGGAGTGAGAGTGCGAGTGCGAGTGAGAGTGGGAGTGAGAGTGAGAGTGAGAGAGTGAGAGGGTGGGAGTGGGAGAGTGAGAGAGAGAGTGAGAGAGTGAGAGTGGGTGTGAGTGGGTGTGAGTGTGAGTGTGAGTGTGAGTGAGTGAGTGAGTGAGAGTGAGAGCGAGAGCGAGAGTGAGAGTGAGAGTGAGAATGCTGCGCCTGCCACGATCTGCACTTCGAGGTTCACAAAGTGCTGCGCCGGCTGCGCCTGCCACGAAATCTGCACTTAAAGGTCCACAAAGTGCTGCACCTGCCACAATTTCTGAAAACGACCCACGTGTCCAAGACTCACGATTCACTGCACGTCACGAAATTGGAGCGCGTCGAAGATCACCACCCACCATCCTGGGGAGCCATTCGATCACTAAAAATGCGATCAAACAGCTCTCGACCCTATTTTGTAAAGCTTTGATGCCATTGCCCGTTTTCACGGCCATTTGGTTTTTTCACGGTTTCAACTCCTTGAGTTCACGTTTTTCACGCCTTTTCGCGGCCAAGAGCCGTTTTTTCACGTCCAAATGCACACTTTTTCACGGCCTTCGGCTTTTTCACGGCTAAATAATTGTTCACGGCCATACCGTTTTTCGTGTCCAAATGGCCATTTGACCTTCGACCTTGTCTTTGGTGATCAAATGGCCCCCCAGGATGTCCAAAGTGCTGCACCTGCCACGAACTCTGCAGTTCCAAGCGCAACCGCTCCGATCCCTGGCGCCTGTCAGGATAAGCCGACTTCGCACCACCAAAACACGAGGTTTCCCTTGCACCTGCCACGAAAAGTGACCACCAGGTCCGAAAATGCGCACGGCACCACAAGCGCAGTCGCGACAAGCACCCACTCCATCCAAAAAGATTTTACGAGCCTGCGCAGTCGAAATGCACTTCGAGGATTTCGAGAGGTATGAGTGTACTGTAAATAGCAGCGAATTAGCCAGACATGGATGCGCGACACCTCCATTAGACACCGGTGCTTAACCTTTACCGTAAGAACCCCTATAGTGTGTCCGCACTGTTTGGGGAAAATGCTCGACGGGAATCAAGAAGAAAAAAGAAGGATCCAAAAAGTATGCCCAGTGAGCACGGAAAGGGAAAAGAGACTTGACTAGGGAAAGGATGACAGCAATCGCAAGGCGACAAAAGGGTTCAGGCAGCCCCTCCGCAGAGCAAACCAAAAACACAAAATCCATCCACAAAGACAACAAAAAGAACGAAATGATGGAAATGTTGGACACAGTAAAGGAGGTCGCTATCATCCACAGGAGAACAATGAAGGGATGTGTTAACACATAATCACAAATAGAGAGTAAACAAACGGGCGAGGGCATGCAACATTTGGTGTGGAGATGCGATGGGTGACCTTTCTATTTTTCATCTAGATGCCGCATTAGGGGTTCCTGGCAGGAATGATGCAAGCACCTTCTGAAATTCACAAAAGTTGCAGATTGGAAATGGATTCGTCTTGGTATGTTTTGATGTGTTATGATCCGCCATGATCCGCTCACCTGATCTCAGAGAGCATGATGCCCTCGGCGTTCTCCCCGGCTGCCCAGTGGAAGGCATCACCCAAATCCATGTGCCTTCGGCAGCCGTGCTGCTTGGTGCGCTCATTTCGTCTGGAAGCGTCCCATGGTCACCAGATATATACAGTAGTATGTTGATGTTCATCAGGTGTGAACCACTAACTAAGCAGCTTCAAGGGCATGCACTGCGGAGACTTGATGGAAACGCATAAAGACGATGTTTTGATGGTGCACCCCAACTGCAAAAGGTTGAGGTCGAAATGGGCATCTATTCTGAAAACAGTGCAAACACCTGCCGTTCCAGGGCCAGCGGTGCACAGTCCATCCTGCAAAGTCTGCTGGTTTGCAGGTTGCCATTTCCATCTTTCATGTCGCCCTCGGAAACTTCATTCCAACCATCCACCTCCAAAAGCCACACTTCACCAACCTCATCCACCTCCTGCCTCTGCAACGTTTCAAGGCCATACTCATTCTGCGCACGCGCCGCAAAGCGCAAGGGCACCAGCCGGCCACTGGTCATCTGTCCACACTCGCGGTGCACGTCCGCGTGGGAGGCGATCAACAGCTCCATGGCCTGTGCAACCTGTGCCAAGGGAAGGACCTACCTCTGATCTCGTTCTCTTGCCCAGCTCGCCCTGTAGCCCGCCTAAAAAAAACATCTGAGTGGTTTTGGGTGTGAGGCCGACGCCAGAGATGTTTGAGGATTCCTCAAGTAGTCGCCACGCGAGAATTACTGATCCCTTCCATTTCCCTGCAGTAGAGAGGGAGAGAGAGAGACGGAGAGACAGTGTATAGTATAGGTCAAACTTCTTGCAAGGCTGCTGCCAAGGTTGGCCACTGCCGTAGGACACAATCCTCCGTCATCAAAAATATCATGTGTATCAATGTGGTCCATCAACGACATCCAGGGACCTCCCATCGTGAAAGGTATATTGGGGGTCACCATGGCGCTTGCACTTCGTTTCGTCGCACCTGCGGGCCATTGGCCGAGGGCGGAGTACTGGCCAGGAAGATCAGCGGAGTGTAGTCGTTGAAGGCCGGGCTGGCCTCGGTGCGGAACATGCGCTTTGCGCGTGGAAAAGGCCCCAGGGTGCGTGCCAAGGAACTATGCACTGTGCCACAGAAAATCCCATTGAGCCATGAGAATGTCCACATGATATGATCGCCTATATTATCCTGCAACAGCTCTTGAAAGGGAGCGAGGCTATACAAGGAGTCGGTGATTGAATTCTCTAACACAGCTCTTCCCTTTCACTCACTCTTGAGCTGTCGTGCTTGCGGCCTGTAAAGACCAGGATTGCGCTCATCTCAACATGTGGTTTCACACGGAGGTACTAGTGACACATCTCGGCTGAAACGTGTTACACTCCTCCTTTGGTTGAGGTGGGCTAACCTCTACCAACTCTAACACTCAGCTCTCTGCCAGGTAGATGTTCACTGGCATTGATTGCTTAGCTTTCTCTGTCAGGTGGATGTTCACCAGCAGAGATTGCTCTCATGCGTTGATTGCTCCTCAGCGCCTTTGTCTCAGCCCAGCTGCTTCTGCCTGCTCAACTTGCTGTCTTAGAGCTTCTCGTTCTGCAGCTGCTCTCCTTTCTCGCACGTGGTCCATCCACTCTCTTGTTCCAAGGGCCCAGCCATAGCCTCTTGGAGATTCAGGGATTTCCTCTTCTGGCTCAGGCTCATAGTGAAGTCGCCTGATCAACCATTTTCCACCATCTCTCATCCAGTTGGGGTTCTCGATGAAGTATTCCTCGCCATCTTCAGGGGTGTCGATCGTGAGGTCGAGGAGTCGGTGCATCTGGATCTCACCAGTGTCTGGATTCACCCAGAACACAATGCCAGGCATGTTGTACTCCATGTAGCACTCTGGGTGTTCACCCAGCTCTTGAAGTAGGCCTGCATGTTGTCGAAGTTCTCGAACTGCGTCCGTCACTTCGTCACCAAGTTCTCCTGCCACGCGTAGGGCTTGTTCAGATCCACTGCCTTCAGGTTCTTCAGCAGGTTGGTCATCTGCTGTCGAAGGTTGTTCTTCTTCAGATTCTTCTCCACTCAAGCTTCCAAATCCTCCATGGCGTTCAAGACGTCCATCAATGTCCAAGAAGTACTCTTCTCCAGGAAATGCTTGAGCTCGATGTCGAAGAACTCTGTACGTTGCCATTTCTTGACCAATGGGGTCCCAATCTTCAACTGTTGCGATGACATCATCATCGTCCACGTCCATGGCGTCCTCTGTGTCCATGGCGCCCTCTGTGAACTCATCTTCAGTGGGTTCTCCGCCAGAGGTGTAGGCTGTCTCCGTGAGATTCTCGAGTTGTGGTAACTCTTCTTCTTCTTGTCCATCACCTTCTTCTTCTCCTTCAAGTAGTAGGTGGTTGACATCTCCACCTTCAGGTTCCTCCCATAGTTCTCCATCGCGATCACTTCCGCGAGCTTCCGGATCATGTCCGGCTGGTTCTCCAAAGAGGTTGAACCTTGTCTGCTTGACTTTTCGCTGTTCTCCTTCTCGGTGAGGATCTTGAGGGGGTGAAGTTTCTCGTTGAAATTCTCCTCCACCTTCAACAGGTCGTAGGTTGAAGTAGTCCCTGAGGTAGAACAGGATGAAGACCACCACATTGAATGCCACCATCATCATGCCTGTCTGCAAGATCTGGTAGCCCATCTCGGTCAGGAGAGACCATGCTCCAATCGAAGCCGAATCAAGCACCATCAGCGCTAAGTCGCAACCTTGCACGCTCATAGCCAATCCCATGGCTACAAACAAAACTGCATTTGCCGTGAAAACCATCAGTAAAATTTCACGGTTGCTGTCACTACTGGTCGTCTCTTCGACTTCCATTCCGTTGCCCTGCTGACTCAAAGCCGCCAAAAGCAAACATGTCAGCTGTTGCACTCTTTCAGGTCTGAGTCCTTTGACATGTCGAATCTCTTCTTCTTGGGCTCCAACTCGTGGTCCACCAGCGAACTCCAAGTAGCCAATGAGGCCTAGCAAGAATCTCAATCTCTTGCTGCTGTGACTCTTCGTTCCCAAATCGCTGCTGTTCTCTTTTCCCGGCACAGGTCGAATTGCAGCTTCTCGTTCTTCCACTTTCTGCTGCACCCACAAAAGTCCAGTGCTTATGTGTCGGGTTCTCTGAACTCCTTGTCGTTGGAGTAGCGCTCGAGCAGAGGAACTGTCAATCCTCAACTCCAAGACCACCTTCATGTTCAGCACGGCCTCCAACATTCGCTTGATGTAGATTCCATCTGCCATGCCGCTGACTGCTGAAATGAACTCAGCCTCACAACTTGACAAAGCTATACTTTTCTGGCTCCTGCTTGCACTCCAAAAGAAGACGCCGTTGAGGTACATGTGACTGCATGACATAGATCTCCTTGTAGTCCTGTCCGATGCCCAGTCGCTGTCCGTGAAAACTTCAAGTAGGCTCGGACGCTGTGTTGCAGCCATCTTCACATCATCATTCCTTTCTCCCATAGCCGAAGCCATTGCGAAGCTCTGCTTCATCTCCTGGACGTAGTCAGCCGTGTGCTTCAGGTAGAGCACCAACTGCTTCAACTCCTTCTTGTCCAGGGTGTCAGGTCCTGTGACCTTTGAAGTTAACTGTCGAACTGCACATTGGATGTCTGGCCTTTCTGTTGACATGTGCAGCAAAATGCCAACACATGTTCTGTAGAGGCTCGACTCTTCTTTGGAAAGAGGTTGTCCTTGTAGTCCTTTCTGGAAGGTGCCAGTTGTAGGCGTCTGCTTGCCCTTGTTGACGTGCAGGTCCAACAAGTCTACCAACTTCTTCACATACTTCTGGTCCATCCTCACAGTCATGGAACCAGATCCATCAGAAGCAAAATGCCTCTTGACGAATGCGCATTGCCCTGCAACCTTAGATGAACAGGGTCCTTGTACTTGCAGTGTCCATTCCTGCTTTCTGAAGCTATCAAGGAGCTTCTCAACATCTTGTTGACTTCCAACCAGCTGTAGGTCATCAACGTGTGAAGACATCACCAGGGGTGTCCTGCCAACCTTGTAGAAAACCGCGGGGTTTGCAGGATATGGTTGTAATCCTTGGTCTCTTGCCACTTTGCCTAAGTGGTCATACCATGCCTTGGAACCAACTCGTTGTCCAGGAAGACATCGTCCAAGTTCAAAGAACTCGCCATTGCACTCCACATAGACCTTCTCCTCCTCAATTACCATGAGGTAGGCGTCCTTAACATCGACTGCCCATAGTCCAAGTTCTCCTTGGCTTGACTGAACCAAGGCTGCCCACAATTTCACTCCAATTGCATTGCTTGTGGGACTGAACAGATTCTCCATCTCAGGGGAGAGAAACTTGCAGTCTCTTCCAACCAGTCTTGACCGTCTCATCCAGCCAAACTTGCCAGTCTCTTCCTTCAGGCGCCATCTCCAGTCACAGACCTTCTTGGTCGTCAGGAACCTGCAGTCCTCAAAGTTGCCACTCTTGGGAATGAGGACTCCCATCTCCTTGAGCCTTGTGATTTCTCGCTCATCTGCCTCCAGCTCCAACTGCGCCAACATCTCTTCAGAGACATCTGGAGGTCCAGCTTCTTCAGATTCCTGCTCGAGGTCAATCTCCTTGAACTCGCCCCAGTCGTTGAGGTCCACCAAAGGGTATTCGTCCACTTCGACGAACTCCCGCTCATCCAAAGCCACTTCTTGGACGCCACCTGCAAATGAAGGTGCTGCTGCTAAGCTGCTTGCCATCGGTGAAGACGATGGGGATGTCCTTGGGGGAACTGCAAATTCCACCTTTGCTTTCTTGACCGGCTCTGTTCGTGCACTCTTCGTGGGAGGTTCTTCTCCAGGAAGTTCACCATGAGGTCGAAGTTCTCCTTGAGGATGTTGAAGTCCAGCAGGTTGTTGAGGAACTTGAGGATGTAGTCCGCCTTGAGGTTCATCACGAACTCCTCCTGCATGTTGCGGGTCTTGCTCTGCATCCTTCATGACCAAATCATCCGGAGGTTCCGTCGGAGTATACGGGAGGTTCTCCGGCGTGTAGGGAACTGGTTGTTCTCGTTCTCCATCACCAGGCTTCTTCAGCTCAGTCTCCTTCTTCTGCTTGTCCTTCAAGTCCTTGTCATCAAGGTACTCCTCATCACTTCCTTCCAGCTCACCAAAAGGTTTTGCCAAGGCTTCTTCTGCTCTACGTCGTGCGTACTCTTCAACTGCTTTGGCCTCGTCATCTTGTAGTCCAGGAAAGGTCTGGCTTTCCAGGCTTCTCTTCTTGTCGACCTTGGTCGTGGGACCAAACTTTCTTGAGCTTGCATCATCCCATGGCAATCCATGACAAGCCATGAGGAACTCTGGTTGCCACTCGTCGGCACATCTTCGGACTGCTCTCGTCACAAACAATCCATTTGGCGACAACAGGAAGTTGAGGTCTGAATCCATCAACTTGCCCACATAGATTCCCTTCCGCCAGATTGGAACTCCTCGTCGGGTGTTCTTCGGGACTGGAAGTGGTTGTCCATAAACGCATGCTCCAAAAGGTGCCAGCTTCCCCGAGTAAGTGCGGGAAGTCACAACTTCAAATGGTGTATTGCCACCAGGTGTAACATGGAACCTGTTGTACAACCATGATGCATGGGCATAGCGCCAAACAAATAGCGGGTGTGAAGCGGGAATCTCGATTCCACATCCAACACGGATGCTTTCCAGCAAGGTGTTGCCTAACCTTCTCACTGTCTGAATTGCTCGTTCTGCAGGGTTAGATGCTGATCTGCCTTGAGGTGAGAACTCTTGTGTTGTTTGAAGTTTCAACAGCCTCCTCGCATCAGCCACTGCTTTCATAACCTGCTTCAAGGAAGGTTCTTGGTCGCCCTTGATGATCACTTTGTCATAGTCCCTGACAAAGCCACAAATTGCATTGGCACAGCCAAAATGGCTTTTGACCAATTGTCCACTGCTACCAAGTGCTTGACTTCAGGACTTTCTTTGCGAATCGTGGTGTTCGTTGTCATGTAGTCCAAAGCCACTGTAGGACAAATTTGTTCTCGTCGTTCATGACGTTCATTGTCTTTTGACCTTGTTGCTTGGCAGTGTTCACACCAATCTGCAAAAGGAAGGTGTGAGAGCAAATGTCTTTGCTTCTCCTCATCTGTAGGGGCTAGAGGTACTTCTGCTTGTTGAGGTCGTCTTTCCATTGCCCTCTTCTCGTTGCGAGCTGCATCAAGCGCTGCTTTTGCTGCTGTTTCTCTCACTGCCACCTGTAGCCTTCTGAAGACTGTGGTCTTGCTCCCGCTCAAAGGGATTCCAAGGAACTCGCACGCATCTTTCATCACTTTTCTTGAGCTTGCAGTTGTCAACTTCAAGCCATTCACCATCACGAAGTCATCTCCAACCTCGTCGTAGACCAAGTTGCTCTGGTTCATGCGGTCCTCCTTGAGGTTCTTCAGCCTGCATCTCTTCAGGAACAGGTTCTGCTTCTCCAGGTAGAAGTCGTGGTTCAGCGGGTCCTCCAACTTGTGCATGAAGATCATCTTGTAGAACTTTTTTCGATCCCTTGAAGGAGCAAAAAGTTTGGAAAACCTGTGAGGGTTGAGAATTGCTGGGGAGAAAGCGTTTGGCATGGTTCAGGAGGGATCTGCTGTCCATAGAGCTCCTGAATCTCGTGAGGGAACAGTGCCTTCTCATGCACCAAAGTCAGGGTTGTGCATGGTGAGATGCCATCCAACTCCGACATCTTTCTGTCTACCCAGAACTGCGCGCTCTCCACACAGTCATACTCGCCACTCTCCAACTTCACCAGTGTTGTTCTGCAAGGAAACTGGTAAGGATCATACTTTCTTGAAATGTCCTGGAAAGTGAATGCGTTCTTGACCACCAAAACAGGTGTGCCATCACTCAACTCATGCCAGCCAGGTTCTTCAGCCATGGCCTTGAGCTCGTCAGACACGTCCATGACATAGCTGACCTTCTCTTCCTCCAAGCCAAAGCTCAGAGTCAGGTTGTTACACTCCCACTCCAAAGGGAGGTAGTAGTCACCCTTCTGCAAGTAGAACTTGTCCTTGACATTCTGGATCATCCAACCTTTCTTCATCCACTTGCCCATAGCTACCAACGGTTGCTTCACGATGGCCACCACAAAGATCTCCTTCAGCTTGACAGGTCGTCCATCAGCTGCTATGCAATGCAACGTCATTGCAACTTTCCCTTCAACAGGGATCATTCTACCTTGAGCATCTCGAAGCAATGCTCCACCTTGGGCCCTCTTGCCCAAGCTACCCATGTTCATGGGCACCACACTCACATCTGCACCCAAGTCGAGTACAGCGTTGTAGTTCAGGTCCAACTCGCAGATGGCCTGGATCACAAAGGTCTCAACCTTAGAGGTCTCGAGGGTGATGAAGTCCACGTTCTCGAAGAGGTCGTTGTAGTCCATCATGTAGTCGTTGAGGTCGATCTCCTGGGTGAAGTCATCCTCCACGGTCCAGTAGTCGTCCATGTCAGTCTTGGTGAGGTCAAAGTGCTCAACCATGTCCTCCTCGGTCACCACCATCTGAAAGCCTTCAGTGAAGCTCTCCTCAATGTCTATCTCACCTTCTTCTGCAAGATCAAAAATCTCGCAGGTCTCAACCATGGGAGGTGTCTTGATCTCCCACAGCCTTCTCACCGTGCCAGCGCTTCTGTACGATGTGCTGCTCGGTGCCGTACTTGCTGAAGACGATGAAGTCCTCGTGGAAGGTCCAGAAGGTTGCCCTCCATTTCCTCCATGATCTCCATGATCATGCCCCTCAACTTGTTGAACTTGTTGGCCACGTTGCCAACACTCCGCAGCTCTGTGGCCAGGTTTGCCACACACAAAGCAAGGTCCCTTGGACTTGCCCTTTCCTTTCTCTTGACTCTTGCCGCCACCTTTTCCTTTGCCCTTCTCAAAAGAGCTTTTGCCTTTGCCTTTGCCCTTTCCTTTGTCACCCTTACCTTTGGGTGAGCCTTTCTTTCCTTTGCCCTTCTCCTTGCCTTTTCCTTTGCGGTCGCCCTTGATGCGATCCACCTCCATTGGCATAATCTGGTTGTGCTCGAGGATCTTGGCGCCTGACCAGGCAGCCGTAGATTGCTCGTAGGCCACCATCGGCTCTCTAACCTGTGCATACCGAGTGCCAGGTTTCACATTCAGCTGCAAATGCTGTCGCAGCTGCCCCGGACAACAACGCATGACCGTTGCTATCTTCAAATTCTCATCCAAGGAGCTTCCTGCCAGTCGCTCGTACTCACCGACCAGCTTCTCGTACTTCATGATCCCCTCCAGGATCTTGCCCTTCTCGAACTGCGGAAAGGCCACCAGTGCCTGGATGATTCCAAGCTCTCTTTGCCTTGTCTTGGGTTGGAACTCCCGACAAAGCCCTTGCCAGGCTCGAAAGCCATCAGTGTCCGTGACACTCCGGACGATCCGAAGCGGTCGCCCCTTCACAAAGCTGACCAAGTAGGCATACAGCTTCTTTGCTCTCTTCTGAACTTCCTCCTTGTACTCGCTCAACTTCAGGTCCTGCTCCAAGTCCTTCTCCACGTGCTCCAGGTCGTTCATGAACTCCTCCTCAATGAAGGCCAAGTAGCTCTTGAAGAGGAATGACCATTCAGGCCATGTAGACTGCTCCTCATCGACAGTCCCTGGAGACCACACTTCAGGCTTCAAAAGGGTCCTTGGATCGGCTTTGCTGCCGTCCTTCTCTTTCTCCTTCTCTCCAAGCTTTTGGAGAGTCTGGGCGCACACTCTCGTGAACCCATGGAGCTCGGCCACTACCTGCTCCATGCCACTCATGAGGCGTCAGCCTCCTCTTCCAGCGAACTTGCCCTCCAGGAAGCCACTGGCTCTGATTGCACCGCCGCTGCCAGCTGCTGCGAAGCTGCCGGCTGCTCTGCTCTGCGGCCACTTATGGCGACGAAAGGGCTCTTGAGGATCGGGTCCTGTCCTCACGGGATCGGGTCCTGTCCCTGGAGCTCACCGGAGACGCAAGCGAATCCGGATCACAGCTCCGCTACCATCTAACACAGCTCTTCCCTTTCACTCTTGAGCTGTCGTGCTTGCGGCCTGTAAAGACCAGGTTTGTGCTCATCTCAACATGTGGTTTCACATGGAGGTACTAGTGACACATCTCGGCTGAAACGTGTTACAAATTCCAAAGGCCTCAAACACATCTGGGCCATTTACAATTTCATGACTCCCGACCGGCAGACTTTGTCATCTCGGACCTGTACTACCCGGATCTTCCTGGCGCACTTCCAGCCCTGGCAAGCAAGAGCTGCTATCCAAGCCACAAGCCCCGCATTGGGGTCAGCTTTCGTGGACAAGGCCACGCGGGTGTCTTCCAGAAGGCCTCGATGAGCGATCGAACCCGGCCGCGACGCACAAGAAGAGTGCCAGAAGTTTTGGGGAAACATCGCAGTGGAAGATGGCCCGCTGCAAGGCCATGGTTTAACTTTTGTGTTTTTCAAGAGAGGGTGGCGTTGGGAGAACAACTTTGGATCCATATGCTGGGCTTGGTGGAATACCCCCGTTCAAACCAAAAGTCTCACATCCATCTTCATCCCTGTTGCCACATCTCCTCGTTCAAAAGCCAAAGGTCTCAGGTTCTTGTGGCCCTTGGAGCACACCTCCAGCAGCCGCACCGAAGCCTGAGCCTCAAATCCCTCCGAGACAAAGACCTCAGGCAGGTTGAAAGACTCACAAATGTGGTTTTCATGGTGTTCCAATGCTAATCTGCTAATTTTCACCAAATTCCCCAACAGCATTCGCACCTTTGGCTCAAAATGAGGATAACCCCTTATTGCAAAAAAGGGTCTTCAGTTTTGAGTCAAAACAACAAACGAATTAATTAAGTGGCTGGTTAACGTTATAAACAACATTATATTTTCATTCTTCCGGCTTGTCTTGAGACACCCTTCACTTCACCCCATCTTCTGCCTCTTCCCGGCGCCCCTTCTACGGGGTTCACCTCACCCACCGGCCAAGCCGCGTGCTTTACCTTGCGGCGGCTCTCGGCTTTGCGGCTGCCCAGGACGCGCTCGGCGGCCACACGGCAGCGGGTCTCACCCAGCTCCTGGATCAGCTGGGTGGAGTAGCGCTCCCACTCATAGAGGCTGATCCCTGAGGAGTTCGGAAGCCAGTGAAAAATGGTGAAACCTGAAAAAAACATAACAGGAAACTCCATGGGCATTGGTTCCAGCGCCGCCGCCTGTAATTATTGATTGTACGTGATTGTATTAAGTTTGCAGAATGAACTAGAAATGACAAGTTTAACTTCAATAGTAAAGTCAGTGTTTATATATATATATATCCTGTACTGTACTGTACTGTACTGATGTTCGTATATATAAGCACAAGACGCAAGACATCATAGGACATTCACCACCAATCACCCCAAGGTTCTTGGTGTTGATTCTTGCATTTGTGTAGAGTGGATTGTCACTGATGTAGGCACTTTGTCTGTCGGTATGTGCCACCCATCTGGGAATCCAGACCGAGGCATCTCGGCATCTCTTCTCTTCCAAAGGCCAGAACAAGCCGAATGAAACCCAAAGGAACCATCTTCGAGCCAACACCGTCTTGACATGTTCAAGAAATGGCGCAGACATGTCGTGCAGTCCAAGGGTCTTCCTTCCATATTGGTGTCTGCCGCATCAAAGTTGAATTTCGCCCGGCTCCCGAAGCTACCCATGGCTTCTTCAAAGCGCGCTTTCAGGGCAGCAAACTCTGCAGGCCAAAGATATCCACAAGCCTCAACATTGATCGGGGTTCAATCCCTTCAGTCGAGGGATGAGATATGGTCCATGGTGAGATGATGGGACAGCTGGAAAAAACAGTCGCATAGCTGCCAGATTGTTTCACAAAAGTCCATTCGTGTCCACCCATGCTAGGAGAAAAAGGTCTGCAAAAGGATACAAAAGGTTTTTTTGATGTTCAAAGCCCAGGAGCTGCTCCGTCAAATTCTTCGAAAATCCTCTTCACCCATGAGTCCTTCCCCAAGATCTTCCTTCCCAAGGCCTCGGCGGCCTCGAAATCCAAGGCCACTGTCAGCTCACCCTTCTGTTCCTCCAAGCCTCCGGCCGCGCCCGAAGAGCTACTGGGTCGGTGGTGCCGTACCGCACCCTTCGCCAACGGCAGGGGCTCCAGGTGGCTGGTCCCGGCAGTGGTCGCGGTGCGGCGTGAGCTGCGCAGGGCACGGACCTTGCGAGAGGCCCAGGTGGGCGACCCCGCGCTGGGCGATGCCGCCAGCAAGGTCAAAGGACTCACGGGAGAAAGGCTGTCCGTCCCGAGGCCGTCCCGGCGCTCCTGTGGACAAAAATGAAGAGAGAATCCACATCCTAGCTACTCCCGGACCATGCCCTGAGACCTGTGCCTGCTTTGAACCAACGTCTCGGCTCCTTGACATCCTTCTCATGTGCAGGGCAACTAGTGGAACGCCTTTCTGACATGGCAAGCCAGCTCAAATTGCGAGAAGTCAGTGGCGACGGCGTGAGGTAGGCAAAATAAGCCATTGAACATCTGAGTGTGTTTGCCGTGGCTTTGCTACTATATAAATCTATATGACTAACCCCGTGCTCTGTGCTTTTGCGGAGAATTCTTCTTTTTGAACCAGCTTCGGTGGGCCGATCTTCATTGAATCAACATGAATCAAGGCATCGATGGACTGAGACACGTCACCAACTCACAAAATACATCTTCTACATCGCACCCTACATGTGACGGACCATGACGGGCCGCAAAAACAAAAGGTGCAACATTGGGCACAACGCACCCACTGAGCTCTCCCTTTGCCTGGCTGTGCCTTTTCATCTCCAAATCCATCAAATGGATCAGCGCTTTGCAACAGAAACCAGGGCCAACACAAGCGCCATCCCACTCAGAACCACGCTCCATTCACCCCATGGCGCGCGTGGGATGGGCGAAGAAGGCTCGTACCGCAAGGCGGAGCGAAAATGGGTTGCCTTCCGAACATAGCTGTCAGCATGCTGTCTTTGAGCGCTGATCCGGTCCTCCTCTTTGTAGGTCTTCTTGACCTGCGCAACGTCAACAACCATGCCGCGGTAGGGCGGGCCGGGGGTCGAGGCCCAAGCGGATTGCTGACCTGAACGGACCAGTGGCTGTACTGTGGACCAAGAATCTACTTTTTTCCTCCCGACCTGGACATGTCTTAGTCACAGTCAAGCCCTGGCCTTTGCTGGTGAGCCCACCACAAGAGAGAATGGAGGTACTTGCATCCCCTCAAGCACGAGTGCCCCGGCGCCAACCACGCTTCCACGGCCAATGACCGCTCTGTTTAGAATTGTGGCGCCCATGCCGATCAACACCTCGTCTTCCACGGTGCAGCCATGCAAAATGCAGGCATGCCCAACCGTCACCTCCCGTCCAATGATGCACGGGCAGCCTGTGTCTAAGTGCACCATTGTCAAGTCTTGAATATTTGTTCGATCTCCTTGGCTCTTCCAGGTAGTGAAAGCAAACCGATCTAGACCCTCTAGGATTGTCACTGGCCGCGGCGGCAAGTGGACATGCATGGCAATTTGGCTAGGCTACAGAGGTCGCACTGGTATGAAACCCGGGTCCGAAAGCACAAAGTGCCACATGCTTCAGTGAGCTTGCATACCTAAGCGCATGAACCACAGCATCCTTGGTCATGTGTCCAAAAAACTACCGCAACCTAGCCCCTAGTCGTGGGTGGTGAAAAGCTTTGGTTCTGCACATCTACGGGGCCAGGCCCTCCCCCGAAGACATCCAAACCGGGCTTCGCTTGGAACCCCCCCCCCCAAAAAAAAAATATATATATATATATGTGTGTGTGTGATATATATATATATGTGCATCTCAAAATAGCTGTCTTCAAAGAGAGGCTACTCTAATTCGCACTTCTGACCGCCGCTCTTTTTCTCCAATACTGTTTCTGGCATTCCACACTCCATGGACTGAACAGCATGTGATTCCACAGCGTTGGGACGCACAGCGGCATGCACCCTTAGTCTAGGTGCAGGATTGTGCAAGTGAAGCGGTCTGTTCTAGATAGACCTGATCAGACGCCCTGCTCTCCCAGTTGCAGGTTGCCCTGCAACTGGAAGGGTTGTCAACTAGGTCGTATCAAACAAATCCCGTTTCAGACCTCTTCCCCCGGAAGGCCCCTTGCTGGCAATGAACATCAAAAGAAGTGGACGCACCAACAAGGGAGGCCGACTTCTCAGGTGGGTTAGCTCACAAGGGGAAATCTTTGAGCCAATATACAAATGAAGCATAGCTACTGAGATGAACAATGCAAACCCAAGCCTTCCAGACCTGATGCAAGTTTACATCTCAAATTAGCTATCTTCAAAGAGAAGCTATATACTCTAATTCTCGCTTCCCACCGCCGCTCTTTTTCTCCAATACTCCTTCTGGTATTCCACGCTTCATGGATTGAACAACCTGTGATTCCACAGGATCAGCGTTGGGACGCGCACTGGCATACATCTTCCACTCAGATTCCACTCTAAATGCAAGCGCTCTGTGGCCCTGCAACTGGAAGAGTCAACTTGGTCGCGTCTAACAAATCGCAAGTCTCTGCTCAATCCCAACGCACTTAAAAAGGTTCAGCCAGGGGCAGAGGGGAAAAGGCGACGCAATACGCCGAATATCATGGAGCAAGCGCGCACTGCGCTACCAGGTTGGCCGGCAACACCAACCAGGCGGAGATCTTCTCTAATCAGGCAGGCCCCACCTGAGATAGGCCAGCTAGCAGAAAAGAATGGCTGATGGTGGCAGCCACCCAGCTGACAGGACTAATAACAAAATTCGCAGGAGTAGAGGAATCGGGTAAACTCAGAGGTCGTCGCCGTCGGTACCGCAGCGTTGTGCTGGTGACGGAGCTTGAGCGCACGCACCCGGACATCTGCAGTTAAACGGCAGCGCGTAGAGGGCGTCGTGCAGGGGGTAGGGACCATGGCCTCGCAAAAAAGATAACGGCCAATGGATGGCCGCCACCCCTAGCACACGAACACTGCGTGGCCCGAGATACCAAAGCCCCTATGCAGTCCTTGGTCCTTGCGGGGCCTCGTAGCGCCGAAGCGCGCTCACAGGCAGTTTTCATCGAACCACGTGGCTGATCCCATCGAGTCGAGCAGCTAGCCACCTATTCATGGAGGAGGGTCGGAAATAGACCGGGCCCACGGGAAGAGATCCCTGGCGGCAGTCACGTCCTGATTCATCTTCTGTTTCTTTCTTCAACGGTTCAACGTCTGACCGACATGTTTTGGCTCAACCGCGGGAGGGCCCCGCGGCGAGCATACCAAGCGGTGATTTGGTTGAGTCTACAATGAAAAGCTCCAGGGCAGCGGGAGATTGCGCACAGATCCCCAGGTCGTATGGCTTGGTCAACCAGTCACATGCACAGCAAGCGCTCAGGAAGATGGCTATAGCTCCTGCCAGGTACGGATGGCGTTCAGGATGGTCACACTCTCGGCCAGAGTCACCTACGGTGAAGCGCAGCCGCCAATCTGAGAGGAGCGTATCCCGAAGTTAACCCCCTTCCGGTCGACGGCCCATCTGGAAAAAGACCAGGAGGCCTGGAGGAGAGTCGGATAGGCGCCGGGGTGTCCGCTTCCATCACCTGGGTGCAACTGGCAGAAGTCCCTCCTCTGCAGCCGCCCGGCATTGGGTCCATGCAGCTGCATCGTGATCATCGCCTGCCTGTTGAGCTTCCTCATAGGATGAGAAGAGAAAGGCGAAGCCCTCGTCCGCTTCCACGCCGGCTCGCTGCCGGAAGGTGTCAACGACTCAGGCCTGAGCAAGGTCCAGTAAGGAAGAGGCCGTCCACGCAGGGCCGCCCCCTATTGCCAGCTGTGAGTCAATCGTAGGAAGGCATGGTTGGGTGGGGTCACTCTCCATGGCTTGCAGCGCATCCATCCTGCGAAGTAGCTGGTGCAGCAAAGCCGGCTGCACTAAGGACTGCTGCTAGAACTCCGTAGCAAAGGTGAGGTGTACCCAGTCCGCAGCTCCCTCAGCTGTCACACAGGAGTGCTTCCCCTTCCAGCGCGCCGATGGCACCACGGGACGGGTCTCCCCAACCTGCGAAGAGCTTTGTTGATGGTGGGAAGCATGGAGAGGACTGCGCACTCCGTCTTGATGGCCTCAAGCACCAAGAGAGTGAGCCAGCCATATATGTAGCACTGCCAGGCGTCCTCGGCTCGCTCGCCTGGGATGCACAGCACCCCTCGCTTGGCCCAGCAGCCAATGAATGGAAACTGGATGCCACCCCTCCACGCAGTGCAGCACTGGCGGCCCGCAGCAGTACACGGCCTGCGCCTGATGGGAGGCCTGAACTGAGAAGGGGTGTGCTGGATCTCCACCACAGATGCCCAAAGGCGAAAGGCCAAAACTGCTTGCTTGATGCGGCGAGTAACTCTCGCATTTATAAGCGGTCGCCTCCAACCAAGCTGCGGTAGCCAGAAGCGGCGCTTCGATATGAACTGCAACATCGATGCCTGGTCGCGGAAGCAACGACATGCGCTCGCGTAAGTCGCGAATGCACCCTCCAAAAGCCAGTTTGGCTCACAAAGGGAAATCCTTGAGCCAAAATACTAAATGAAGTATGGCATAGCTAATGGGATGAACCATGCAAACCCAGCCTCCCAGACCTGATACATAATTACTTAAGCGCTGCTCAGCCTCCAACCTCGATGAAGGAATCATCACCTCGCAGCACGCAGTTAAACCACACGCCCACCTGCACAGCGAGCAAAGTCCATTCACCCTCCCTCTGACAAATCAACTATCTAACGAGTCAGAGTCAGGAAAATGGATCCGTTAGGGTTTCAGCTGGGAAAAAATGTTTAAACACAGTAAATAAAAAGGTCGTCCGAGTCCCCACAGAAAACTCGTCTCTATCGGGTGGCCCCCGCATGCCTCTTCTCCCAGCCGTACGTCCCCGACCACTTGTGCGCCGGGCGCCAGCCACGTGGAGCGCGGCACACGCGGGCGCTGTGCGCCGAGGGCAGCCAGGGACGCCATGTGGAGTGAGGGCCTCCAACAACCTTTCTTCCTTTTCTTTGCTCTTTGTTTTTAATTGCAATGGCCTCCGACCTAGGACCTAGTAGCAATGGCCCTCTATCCTACCAGCGATGGCCTCCACCGGGTGCTCTTTCGTAGAAACTACAAGGGAGCAGGATGAAGAGGGGTGAACGTCCAACTTGTCATAGATGCATAGATGAAACATAGATGAAACCAACTCTGAAACTGCTGGTATGGGTGATGGACACCTTGGTCTGGACACTCCTCACTAGATAAAGCGAGCAGGCTCGAAAAGCACACATGCCCTCCTCGCACAGGCATGAAGGAGACAACCAAAACAAGCTCACAAAGATTATATAAATACTGACCCACTGGCTATCAGTGGTTCCATTTCTCTGGCATCTCAGCTACATCCAGTGCAGCAATGCAGAACCGAAAATCACAGCTTTAACTGACTTTGTCGTGCCGTGACGTAGAAAGGATAAGCCCTACTCAGCAAACTAGGTGTAAAGTTCACCACCCCAAAGAACAACCATGTTACATTATCAGTATCAGCACATTATCATTGCCAACACCAACACGACCATCTCAAGTTGCACAGTTCTGCGATGTGCGGCAGTGCTTCAATGTGCATGCTGGGCGTGCCCTTTCCTTCGCACGTAGTCGGCATTGGTCTATTTAGTCTATTTAGTCTTCCGGGAACTTGTTCAAAAGCGCCAACCTTCGCCTCTGCGCATGGGCCCATGAGCTGCTCTCCGCACTGAGGAATCAACGCACCAAGCTGAAACAAGGCGATCACAGCGAAGCAAAATTGAAATTGTATATATATATATATACACGCGTGAAAATTAGGGCTTAACACCACATGTCTTGCTCTGACGGCTTCCTACCCACAAATCCCCTGCGCGGCGCGAGAGGCCGGGGAAAGACTGGTGAGACCAGTGTTCACGGCACCAGTGGCTAGGTCCTTCGCAGGTGCAGGCTGATCTTATTGGACTGTTTCTGGGCCGTGATGTTAAATGGTGCCTGAATGAAGCACCTGGCAGGCTGACAAACCTAGCAAGGCCCGCACCGAGACAGGCAGGTTCCCGGAGGGGTTGGATTTCAAGGGCAATTGTTCCACTTCCGACCCTGGCTCTTGGGAGTACAAATGATTGTTGGGCAGCACTCGTGACATCACCGATTGGGTCCTCCGCATCCTTCGAGACTCTTAGGTCTGCTTCTGCTTGACCTCTGCCACAGCAGCATCTGCCCGCAGGGCCGCATCTTCGACAGGAACCTGCAAACATCGAAGATTTGAGGCGACGGAGGTGGACGAAAGGTAGAGGTTGGGAGATTCTGAGCAGGAGCAAGCAGCCAGCAGCAGCAGCAGCAAACCAGCAAAGCAGCAGCAGCGGCAAAGCAAAAAGGTAGCACCAGCACCAGCAGCAGCAAACGAGCAGCAGCAGCGGCGGCGGCGGCGGCAGCAGCAGCAGCAGCAGCAGTGGCAGCAGCGGCAGCAACAGCGAAGCAGCAGCTGCAGCACAGCAAAGCAGAAAGCAGCAGTAGCAGGAGCAGTGGCAGCAGTGGCAGCAGCAGTGGCAGCAGCAGTGGCAGCAGCAGCAGCAAAGCACCAAAGCTCACACAAGTTTGGCCTCCACAACCCTTGGTTTTCGTTCAGTTTCGGGGGGGTTGTGCAGACGAAATTGAAAGAGGGTGGAGGCTTGTCATGGTCGAGGGCAGAGACAGAAAGCACCAACAGTGCCCGCCCCGAAAGCCCCAACACAGGCAATGCACAACCACCCCAGCAACAGCAGCCAGCAAAGCAGCAGCAGCCTTTAGGATTCAAGCAACAGCAGCAACCAGCAGGAAGTAGCAACAGCAACAGCAGCAACCTGCAGGATCAGCAACAGCAGCAACACCAGCAACCAGCAGCACCAGCAGCAGCAGCAGCAGCAACCAGCAGCAACCAGCAGCAACCAGCAGCAACCACGAACCACCAGCAGCGAGCAACAAGCAGCACAGCAGCAAGCTGTACAGGAAGGAGCAAGCAGCACAGCAAGCAGCAAGCAGTACAGCAAGCAGCAGCAGCCAGCAATAGACCACAGATTGCAATAGACCACAGTGGATAGGCCAGATCACTCCCAAATTCTCAGCAGCGCAGGGTGGAGTCGAATTGGGCCCCCCCCACCATTCAAAACCTAATTTAAAACGATCGAAATCAGGAGCAGGACCACTCCACCACCCCCAATATCATATTGCTAAAGCAAAGAGAACTCAGGTTGCCGAGGCTACCTTTCATGATTTCAAGTCCTCTGCCATCCATCTTAGCACTGAAGAGTCTGCCTGGGGATGCGAATCCCCTGCCATGGCTGCTTGGGTTTTGAGTCTTGTCAGTGTTACTGTTGATCCCTGCCCCAGTCAGTGTAGAACCAAGTGAAACGAGAACTCTTCGAGTTTTATCTTTTTTCGGTACTTCAATTCACCTTGTGATCACTGGGAACCCACTAAACAAGTCAACAACCAAAGCAGAGTGCGCCCGTACTGTTCTGGAATGATTGGGAGAGTCCAAGGCCAGTCTTGGCCACTCCCAGATAGCCAAATGCCCTCCCTCTCCCTGACTACGAAAAAGGCCTAACCCCAGTTGGCCCAGACACCATCTGTTTCGCTTCCCTCCAGCTTCGCACGGCGGCCTCAATCCGCAAATTGGCCGGAGAGCATCTTGTAGCTTTTCTGCTGGACTCAACCCCCAAAAAAATCCGCATCTAACATCCATGTTTAGTGGATGACCAGGTATGATCCCTTCTAAACCCGAGAAAAATATAGCATCTTGAGCACTCCCATGCCAGGACAAAGTGGTCAACGGCTATCAGAAACTTCCAAAGAAGCTACAGTACTAGGGGCTCCTGGCCTTACTACTAGGAGCAAGGACGCTACTTGGGGCTCTTGGCATCGCTACTAGGAGCATTCTTACTACTATATTCAGAGTTTCCCCCTGTTTTCTAAAGAGAGACTCGCCGCTGAGGGGCGATGACCCATGAACCCAGGCAGGCGCAGGCGTAGTTGCGCTCCTCCATCCTTTTGTAGTCGAAGTAGGGACTTAGGAACAGTCAAGCGGATAGGAAAAATGGGAAAGGAGGGAGGGGGCGGGAGGGGGAGACCTCGGAAAAGGAAGTTCTGTGCCGCTTCAGTGCCGCATGACCCCTACCAATGAAAGGAACTGAAGAGTGTGTTCGTGCCAATTGGGGCCCTCACAACCAATCATGTTGCAATTGTGTAGCTCAAGAGAGGCTCCTATACAAGCAACCAGGAGAGGACTTCTGGCAAAGATACTGTAAGCAGTAAACAGTGTGACCACTGGCTCTGGCTACTTTCCAAGGATTTCTCAAAGCCGACTCCCTTATCCATCAACGTCCATCATCCCACAGCAAGGCACAGCGTGAGATTCTCTTCGAAGGACTGCACCACATAGGCTGGGACCCTGTAGGGGTTGTAGTCCTAGGCGGCCAGAACGGCTTGGCCACTGCACACGCCTTTGGAATTCTAGGATGGCCCTCCTGACCGCCATCAATGGCAACAACAAACAACAACTAGTGACTAGAGGAATTATGGGGTCAAAAGCCTTCCGGCCCAAAGGTGCCAAGACGGGGTTGACATGTCAACGCTCAGCTGGCTGGACCTTGATTCATGAAGCCCCCTACATAAATGATCAAACATCTCCTTATGTGGCTGGAACAGCAACAGCCAACATTGCTTGAGCTGCGACACTGCGTCCCCTTTGTTTGCCATGCAAAAGGCTTGCCACATTGCTCAACCCCGATCCTCATTTCGCCAAGTACCTTCTTAGTTAACTCAAGACATGGCTACCTCAAGCCTCAGACCCGTGCCAAGCACACCGAAAACAGCGAAAACAGCGAAATGGAACTCCTTCAGCTCCATGAGGAAGGCATCCACATCTTCCAACATCGCCTCCGCCTCTTCCCAGTGAATCCTCAGACGTTCCGCATCGTCAAGGGGGCGAACGACCCGACAACCCCCGCCCCGTTCGGCCGATCGGGCCACCCTGGCCCCGACTCCGCGCCGCGTTACTAGTAGCTTCGCGCTACTAGTACGCTTCAGGGTGCCCGGCTTTTTGCTGGAAACTCTCAGCAGGCTGTGGGCCTTGGCGTACGTTCACCATGAATGGCACCCCGCGACCCACGCGATGATGGCGATGATCCAAAAAGTGAGAAGACTCCGGCTTGAGCGGTATTGGAGTGCCTGAGGTTCTCTGGAGAGTTCTTGGGAGCTGCCATAAATGCACTTTGCCAGACATGCAAACGCCAAATTACGGGTGGAAATCATGCCCACTGGTGTGCCGTAGCACCCAAGAGCAGTCTCAACCCTGGCTACCAGGGCCACCCAAAAAATAAACATCCAACCCCACACAATGAATGTACAGTAACCTCCCTTCAACAATCATGGAACTGTGGCAGCCCCTCACCGAGGAGAAACAGACGGCTCATGCCTTGGAGCCTCCAAGGCGCTGCGCAAACCACGGCCAAAGCTCCTCTTGGAGGATCTGACCGCAACGTCGCCAGGCTTGCCCGGCCTGACGGACACGGTCGGAACCAGACTTCGCCCCGCTCCGCCGTGTTCCCACTTCAAACAACTCAAAGTGACCCAGGAAAAGAGGGAACGCATCTGACACATGTCACGACACATGTCATGAGACATGCGAGCATCTCTCTCTCTCTACCCCGCGTTTTTGACGTGCTTCCTCTTCCTGTGGAATAAATGGTGGCAGGGCCACTGTTGTATGACAAGCTCTCCTCATCTATACCGTGATAGAGATACATGGGCGAACATTTACATCATCGGAGTGGACCGGATCAGAAAACCGCCAACTCGGCTGACCAACTCGTTGAGCTGCTGCGCCTTGTTCACTGCTCAACTGCCCCCAAAACAGGGCCGTCCGCTTCACTCCTGTTTGACTTTCTCGCAGGCGTTCGACCTGCGCGGCACGGTGTGCTCTGCATACGGCGATCCACAGCTTTTTGAAGCCGCGACCAGGCCCGAAGACCAACACAAGCTGCTCGGAATGTGCTGGAACCAGGTTGCCGTTGCAAGAGCACCTTGGTTGTCAGCCCTTTCAAGCATTTTTTCCACAACTGTCCTAAGAAAACCACGTCCCAACACCCCCACATATTGATAGAGTACTTCGCAGGTTGCTGGAGAGCCCAATTTGGCTGATCTGTACTCCCAGGCCTTCTGATGCGCTGCTTGCGCATGTGCATTGAGAAGACCTGAGAACGTGGGCTAACCGCTGAAACCAACCGCGACCAGGCTGAGCAAATGGTACGATGGAGACCGCTTTTTGGAGCACCAGTTGGACCAACTATATAGTGCCTCGCTCCTTTTCTGCTTGCAAGTGGGCATCATTGTCAGCCGCATTCACTAGCCCCCATCTCTGCCGGCTCTCTTGTTGGCTGTCAACATGTAAAAAAAGGCCCGCGTGGGCACTCCACAAGCCATGAAAAAACAGCATCGTTCCAACACTATCGTGAAAACCGCTGCCAAGGCCTGTATCTTTGAATTCGTTTCGTGAGGCAAGCTAGCAAGGCTGGTGGCCACTGAGATCTCCTGAAGGTAGATCTCCATTGTTCGAATCGCAGTCCATCTGCCACGACGACGAACTAGATCCGGCGACTCTGTCTGAGCCAACAACCAAGTAGCTCCACCAGCCCGAAGGCTGGCCAACTCAAAGGGGCGCTGACCACCAACTGCCTTTGTGGGGAGTCCCAACTCCTTCAACACGCTGGTGAAACGTTTCCGAAGTGTCCCTGCTGACATGGGCCAAAGGGGTGCTTCAGGTGGCTCATCTTTGAACACATGGGAATTCAGCTTCGCCAGATCAATGGGGTCCACGCGTGCAGATTGATGCTTGGCCCCCCTCCCTCGAGTCTTTGGAAGGCGGATCTTGATCAAAACATGTTCAACTCCCGGAGCAGCGTCTGAAGGCAGAACCACGTCCTGCCTGGTTGCAAACATAAGCTCACCAACCCGCATGATCCCTGACCATGCCATGCCCCAAAGCGCTGCTTCTCTCTTCCAACCCCAGCTAAGGGCAGTACTCATCATCGCTAGTAGCACACTAGCTGGTAGAGCAGGGTGGTGAGAATGAGGCTCATCCTGCAACCATGCAAACGCCAGATCCCAGGCTTTTGTCATCTGCCGCTTTATCAGCGGCCGGGCAGAGCTGATGGCGTTGATCGTCTCTGAATACTTTTGGAAACTCTTGCCAGCAGCATACAAATCCCGGCCATAGCTTACCAGCAAATCACAGATTCGCTCAGGGTCTGCTGGCTTCTCGGTGAGGAAGTGCTCCAACTTCACTTCCATTTCATTCCATAGCCAGTGCTCAAAATCACGCAAAAGGAAGGCGCGACTATCACGGGTCTCCTTTCTCACGGCGCGGTCCGCGCTCAACAGGCTCTGACTACGCATCCGCGCCCGCTCGATCTCTGCATGCGAGCCAGGTGCAAGAGGGGCCATGGCGGTGGAAAACATGGCAACCAAACACATGGAAAACATGAAACGGCATCCAAACACATGGTAAACTTCCCCTCAATCTTCACACGCGCGCGGTCACGCGTACACCTCACATCAACACCAGCTGCATCAATGTGACCCAGAAGGAGCCTGAATTCCTTCTGGTGAGGCGAGCCAAAGTAGCAAGAAGCAACGACCGCTTCACACAGACCAAGGCCAACCAAGCTCCTCCACTCTGGTAGCCATGCCATCTTCGACCTACGAGGTTGCTCAAGCGCACAAGGACAACCATGCAAGAAGGCAAACTTCATGATCACCAAGCTCCTGAACGCCATGATGTTCCCCAGCAGCACCTTCTTATTCTTTCGGTCCCACCCCTTTGGAACCTGATAGGACCTCACTGCCGGATATGCTGCTGGGGAAAAACTTGTACAAGGTGGTGACAAGAAGATAGCCCTGAAGCGACCAGTTGCCAACCTATGCAGGACCCACTCCAAGAGGCGCACATCCCCCACATCATAGGCCTTGCTATCAGAGAAATCCAGCACTGGAGCAACAGCGAAGCCAAAACGTTTCATCTCCTCAGACACACGGCCTGCGCCACCAAAGACCTCCACAAAGTCGAAATATAGCAACGGAGCAGCGGAGATCTTTTCCTCATAAGGGAGGCCATCAACACCCTGCTCATGCTCCTCTCCAAGATGCCTCAACGCAGAACGGAAAGGACCATCCAACATCGTGTAAGCACCTCTCTTGTCGCCTCCTCGCCATAGGGTCCCGACAAGCTGAGACCCAACCACTGTCTTCACAATCGCTCCTTTCTCAAGAGAGGCATCCGTGGCAAACAACTCCTCAGGGAAAGAAGCGGTAAGCGGTGAGGTGGGCGAACATGACGGGGGCCATAATAGCAAGCTCAACTAGCTCTTCAGCAACCTTCCTAGGCAATGGGAGAATCATGCCATCAAAATCTTCAAGACTCCCAATGCCAAGTGCAAAAAGGTCATCAACCAAGCTCGAAAGGCATCGACAGACAAGTAGCACGGACACCCAAGATCCCGACAAACGCGACGCCAAACTCCCCGAAATAGCAGGAAGAGCAGCAACCCTCAATGAAATGCTGGCCAAACCTAACCTCTTTGCTAAAGGCGCACCAGCTGGAATGACACCAAGTCCAACTGCCCGGTCAGCAGAATCAACCTCAGCACCGGCCGCCTTGAAGACATCGACAGCCTCGAGATCCTTCTCTGGCGAGCCAGGAAGGCCATGTCTCTGGTATGTTTCTCTGGCACGTTCGAGGGCTCGAAAAGAATCTGTGTCAGCTGGGCATACTGAGCGATGTTGCACAGAGAAACAAAAATAATCATCAATGATCAAAGCCTCCCAGACAGATCCTTGTGGCAGAGGGTGCTTGTTACGTAGTCGTAGTCGATCATGTAATAGACCTTCTCGAGCAAGTAGTACCTCATGAGCCCGCAAGGCGAACTCAACTCCCAAATGGTCTCCCTGATAGAGCGCACCAAAACAGGGGAACAACTCAGACGGCCGATCAGCCTTTGCCAGCCGTTCTTGTTTCAGGTCATCTCCATGCACCTCTCGACCTCCAAGGCCACGCTCTGCAAGCTCCTTCCTCCAAATATCCAGAGCCTTCGCGCCCTCAAAGTCCTCAATCGGGAAGGAGAAAGGAGTCATATTACTGCGAGCCCTGCTCGATGAAACTTTTGCCTGATGGTAAAAATCTCTGCGATCCGTCATAGAACATCTTGCCTTGTGGGTCCATCTAGGCACGTGGAGAGCACCAAGTTGTACCGCTGAGGGCAGAAAAGCTGAAGGACCTTGAGAAGACCTCTCTCTACTGTTGGGTATACGGCGATCACCTATCTGTCTATCAACCTCTGCATTTTTGAAGGCGTTGAAGACCTTGCAGAAATGTCCTTCGACCAGCGGCTCATCATACAAACGAAGCAGTCCCAAGTTCTCCCACTTCAGGGCAAGCTTCTTGTACTCCAGGGGGTCTTCCCGCGAAAAGGAAGGCCAGGAAGACGAGTCATGAGCCTCACCATGCAACAGGAAAGCTGGCTCAACATAGGGAAGCCAGAGCTCACCATCCAAATAATCTGCAAGAGGCCAACCACCAGTACCCTTCAACTGCAGGCGATCAGCATCCAAGCTCCTATGCACTGCTGGCGGAGAGAACTGCTGTTTTTCCAAAGAGCTGTAACTCCCACGAAACTCTGGGTGGTCCACCAAGAAGGCCTCAAGCCGAGAAAGGCATGCAATCAATTCAGGACCGGACCGAACAGGTGGAACTTGAAACTCCTCTGGTCGAAATCCACACACCGTGATATAGTCATAAAGCCTCCGAAACACCCTCCTCTGCAAAGGCGACGGAAACCTCCTGAGCTCAGCAGCACTGGCGAAGCGTCCCAAATACAACTTGTTCAGCACCAAGACTATCAAATGAGCCAGGCGCTTCTGTGCGAGGACTCGCAACCTCTTCTTGCTTAGCCCAGGGCCACCACCATCAAAAACTCCAGGGAAAGGAATAGGCAGTGGAAACACGGCGGTCTGCAAGCCTTCAGCTTGCCAGCAAGCAGAAAATGAATCACGAAGATGCCAGGCGAACGAAGTTCGAGAGGCCATCACCAAACGTGGAAGAGACATTGCCCAACCAACAAATGTAGTAGTACTGTCAAGCAAAAGCAGCCCACTCCAAGGATCACCACCTTGGTCATACTTCAGGCTTCCTCCTCCCCTTCTTGCTGAGTCGAATGTCCTTTGCCTCGACCCTTTCCTCCTTTCTTTGCCTTTGCCTTTGCTTTGGGATCGGGTTGCCCTCCTCCTCCAAGCTGCAAAGAGGGATTGTTCTCTGAGGTGAACTCGCTCCGACGGGTAGATATCGTGTCCAGCTCTTTCAAATGGGCCAGAGCCACGGTCACCCACTTCTGATCTGCCCCATCGCCCGGCTTGTGTTCAGCACCTGACGGTTCATGAAGATCGAGCTGAGAGGATCCTCCATCAAACCAAGAATGACAGCCACATCGAATCGACCATTGTCCAGGGTTGCTTGCTCGATCATCACCGAGGTCAAAGCCAGAGTGTCTCGAGCTGCACCATGGTTGCCAGTCATCATGAAATCGAAGGCCGTCATAATTTGATACTGGAGAAGCCCTAAATCTCGATGACCATACCCTCCGAACCGCTCGAGATATCTGATTCCTGAGATGCCATGGGCCATCATCTCCTCTCCGGAAAGGTCGGCGGAGGCCAAGGTAGGGGCCATCCTTCTGGCCATAGACCGCATCACTGCGTCGAAGAAGACCCCCTTGTGTGAGGCCAGCTCCATCTGTAGCCGGGCCCTGCCTTGGGCACCCCTTGAGCTGGACCCAGCACCATGAGGAAGATCCAGCATCGGGTCAAGGTGATTCGAAGCAATATGCGACACCAACTGGTTTAGTGCAATAGACTGCGTCATCATCGCTTGAGCCACGGTAGGGCTGTCGGTAGCACCAAACTCCTCCTCCAGTTCCCTGACCATGGGAGGGGCCATAGGCGTACTTGAAGGCAATGGCGGTTTGGCCAGCTGAGTCTTCGGAGGGCTCCTGAGAAGCCCAGTCGCCTCTGCCAGAGATGCCGACTTCGACAGAGCCACTGAAGCTCCCAGAGGCCGAGCCAACTGCTTCGGGATAGATGCATTCGCCACCACCTGCTGTTCCAAAGTTGTTTAACGGTCGGCGGCTGCTTGAAGCTGAGTCGACATAGCAGGGAGAATAGATAGGACCTGATCCAGTGACTCTGCAAGCGAAGCCGTGGTAGGCCTCTTTGACTTGGGAGCTTTTGGCATAGATCCTCCTCCAGTTGTAGGCATGTCTTGACCAGCAGGCTGAGCCCGACTTTTTGCCTTTGCCTTTGGAGTCCCCTCGCTCTGAGCGGTCACCTCGTCCATGCTGTCTGAGGTATACGGCCCTCCTGGATTTGAAAGGCCTTGAGAACTGAGCCAATCCATGACAGTACTGATAACTTCTTGACCTCGAGGAAAGATTGAAGGCCGATCTGAAACAAAGGCGAAGACCTCCGGGTCTCCCTCGTTCATAACTCTCAACATGGCAGCGACTTGTCCACTGAAGTCGGCAACCAAAACGCCCACCTCTGTGCCAGCGAGCTCCCACATGCCATTGACATCCTGATGCACTCCGGGCACCATTATAGTCGTGGAAGCCCCCATCAGAGAATGAGGATCTGTGGAGGCGGCAGCCACCGCCAACTCTGCATCCGGGATCACCCCCAAAGGGAGAGCACCAATTAAGCCAGTAGCCTGTTTTAGAACCACCAGGAAGACTGCATCCAGGTAAGCATCTGGTCTCTCCTCTGAAGGCCAGGAGATCACATAGGGAACCAGCCCTGCAGATAAAGGAACCAGCTGCTCGAATTCCAAACCCTCCTCCGTCTCTGAAGCCATCACGGCTGGATCTCAGGGTACGGGACGTCTGCCGCCTGGCAGTAGACCCGAGCCTCCGTCTCAGAGGGGAACGAGTGCGACAATGTAGGTTCAGCCTCACAAAGTTCCTGCCCACGGCACGGAAGAAAGACGAGGATGAACTGAATCCCGTTGGCCGCTCAATACCACTAGCTCGAGGGACAATGTAGACCCGGGGCCGGATGTCCAACTGAGGAGTGGCAGATGGCGTGGCCACTCGATGCTCCAGCACTGCTCGTGCCCAACAACCAGCTGTCCACGCTCGGCGAATGCGAGCTTCTCCTGCTTCTCGGGTGCCTGAAAGTCGACGAGACGACAGAAGCAAGCCAGAAGGCACAGGAGCAAAGGAAGCAGCAATCTGTGCACGGGTCTCTGGAATCCCAGGTGCCGATGACGGCCGAGGCTCCTGACTGAATGATGAACAGGGCGCGGCTGAAGCCACAGAGAACCGATCTGAAGGACCAGGCGACGGCGGAGCGTCTGCAGATACCTGAGGCTGAGAGTAGGAATGGTGCCAGGATGAGACTGCCTGCAGACAGGCAAAAGCCAGGCGCGAGGGCCCCCCAACAGCCACACGTAGAGTGCGATCCAAGACAATTGAGAGCTCAATGACCTCCTCGTCCTCGGAGTCCACGCTCATGCAAATAGAGCGCCAGCCGCTCTGACGAAGAACGAGACGGTGCCGAAGAGGGGCGAGAGAGATCAGACAGGCCAAGTCCAGGCCAGGGAATGAGACCGAGGAAAGCAGCCAAGCTGAGGATCCCAAGCAGCCAGCCCAACAGAGCCACCAGAAGGAAGGAGCTGAGTGGAAAGGACTGGCAATGCAAAGGGCAGCCAAGACCCCAAAAATTCGTCCTCAAACCCTGGGAGATCAGAGAGCCCCACGCCAGGGCCTGATCCATCAGTCTTGAGCGGCCGCAGCAAACATCAGCACTATTGCCATAGATGAGACGGGGACCTGTATGAGGCCACCAGTGTTGAACCACGTACCGGGGGGGCTGGCTGCTACCTTTCTACGCGAAGTATTTGGGGATCACTTTCTCTGTCTTCTTGCAGCTAAGGAGCTCGAACGGTCCTTGTCGTAGGCATCACCATTCCCAGCACCCAGGATCCATACCACGAATTCTTCCTCAAAGTGCCGCTGTAAGCTGAATAAAACAAGGGATGGAAAAAAGATATGCGTTCAAAGCTTCTGGCTGGCCAACTTGCCTGAGATGGTTGCAGTCTGCTAGGGGAGAACCTTCTCTAAACCCTTCCTTCAACTTATGGTTCTTCCATGCGCCAACGAGTAGAACCGTAGAGCCCGAATGCGCAGGTGGCATCCCAGGCATGCAATCCACAGCATGTCCCAAAAAAGGGTGCATCATGTACTGCGATTCCCCCACCACACACAGACAAACACTTGGTTGCGATCTTTCGAGGCTCGTATTGGATCTGGCCATCATGGTTGGTGTCCATCTGCTGGATCAAGCGGTCCATGTCTTTGGCACCTGACAAAAGCTGCAAATCAAATTTCCCTTGGCCAATGTCACTGGCACAGACACCGCGCATCCCTAAGAGCCCTGGAGCGACCCACCTGGCAAGATCTTGTCAAAGACAGCCAACAACTCCTCGCGACTGATGATCCCATCCTTGTTGCGGTCGAAGCGCCTCCGCAGTCTCCAAGGGAAGAGAGCAAAAGAGAGCTAAGGCTACTACCTTGGCACAACAAATTGTTATATATATATATATATGCACACCTGTTTTAAAATAAATACCTAATATACAATTCGTACACGTTTCCAGGGGTGAAATGGCTGCACGAAATGAACACCCTAGAAGACCGTAGATTGCACAAACCCACCAAATGGAGGTTAACAAAACCACCGCTATATCAAGCTATGTATATAATATATATATATATATATTCTGAATATCGTGAATATAGTATGTTTAAAATAGTGCAGGAAGTGAATCAACAAACCACATGGTACCAGAACAGGACAGATCTCTGCGTTGTTGGGGAGCGGGCGGCAGAGACTTCACTGCTGCAGAACTTTCAGCACTGGGCAAACATCTTGAAGATGGATCTGCATGTGATTCAGGGATAGGGAACGTCTTGCGCAACAAGAAACAGCGACCGGCCATTCTGGCTCTACCTCTCTACTTTTCCTGGCAGAAAAACAAACATAAACTATTTACGCGGCTGTTCTGCTTGGTCTTGGTAATGTTCATTATTAATTATTACGTCGATTGCGTTTCCTTGGTTCTGTCGCACACATCCACATGCCTTTCGAGAAGGTCCTGCTACTATAATATCCTGGAGGTTTTTGCCATAATCGTCTACAGGTCCGCAAGCACGGGATCACCCGACCGTCGCCTAAAAATCTCCGTGATGATCCGCTCATCCATGGCGAACGAGCCACCTAACCGAGAGAACAAAGGAATGCCACATTTGGCGAAGTCCTGCCTGAGGCCATCCCAAGAATCGAGGATGTCATTAGCCGTCATTGGCCAGTCAGATGTGTCTTGCATGCACCCCTGGATTGACCAAACTGGCCTCAAACATCTGCCCCCTTCCATTCCAAGTCACATGCGAGTTGGTCAGAAGCGCGAGGCCCCCGTGTTGGAAGCCGAAACTCGCCGCATCACACTGCATCTGACGGCTTTCATGTCGTTTCAATTCAAGTATTGTCTTCAGGCTGTTCGGAGGACGTATGTCGTGGCAGAAGGCTGCACACTGGCTACTCCTTGGCTATTGCAGTATTTGGTTGGTGAGTGTGCCTTCGAAACTGCACACAACGGTTCCGATCATGGGAAGACGTCGTGAAGGCTCAATGGCGAGGGGCTACGGCTACCGTTCTTTTGAAAGCAGTGACAAGCCACAGAGTCCAAACCCTGGCAGCAGTCCTAAAGATCTGTACAAAGCTGCCACCAAAATTGGCAAATACAAGAGCTGTAGGACTCCGGGACCGTTTTGCCCATGTTCAGGCGATTCAGGCCCTCGTCGCTTTGGCAGAAGCCAGGAAGACATGTTCTTTGGAGCTGGTCCGGGCCATGATGGAGCAACATGTCTTCAACACGTGCGTCTCGTCCCAGGATCCATAACAATCTCCGCGCCGGATCACCGTGAAGGTGGTGGTGTCCGCCTCGGTGACCGTGGCCAAGTAGCTCCCCTGGCCGCTGCCCCAGCCATCCCCATGAACTCGCACCAAGAAGCCCCGCTCGGGTGGCTGCAAACTGTGCCCCAAGCGTGCCCGCAGCAACTTGGATCCCAAGCGGGCAGGGCGCTCAAGGCTGGGGGCAAAACCAAGACGAGGCCCTAAGGATTGCTTCCCCACAAGGCGGTGCTTCAAGTAGGCCTTCCTGACTGGAGCCACTGCCGATGTTGGTGGATTTGGAGGTGCAGGTGGATCTGTCGGCACTTTCCGAGTCTGCAAAGCTATGCCACTCTCCGTGTCCTGGATTGACACCAAATTAGCACTGCACCAACCTGCTAGGGTGTGAGAGGGCCACATGTTCTTCCAAACGCGACTGACTTACAGTATCCGCTTAAATGATCTCTTAAATGACCATACACCCAAACAAATAAAACGTGCTGTTTGATAGTGTGTGGTTTTGACCTCCCACCTGGCTCCTTCTGCGAGCCCTGTGAGCTCTGTGAATCCTCCAGCTCCGTCGCCGCGCTGGACCCCCGCACCAGCCACGTCAGCGTCTCCGCTGCGTCTGGCGCCGGGCCGGTGGCACCCGCCAGCGCCTGTGTGGTTCGATTCCCCAGTTGCGCTTGAAACACTGACACGTGCCAGTGATCCGAATCAAGGGAAGAAACGCTGGAATTTGCTTATAGTTTTGGTGGTCAAAAGAATGCCCCAAAATCAACCCCGAAGAAAGAAATTGAAGAAACACACACAACACCTTCCCCTGATCACCCCCCCCCTGAACCTTGGGCACCCTCAGGTGTTGCTTCCGATAAGCAACATAGTTGAGCCGATCCGTCGGACGGATTTCCCACTCGATTTGCAGGCCGCCAGACTCTTCAAGACTAGTCGACTTTTGATTTGAGGGAGTCCGACCTTGGTAGTGGAAGGTGTTGCACCTTATGAATATTGATGGTGGGATCCCAAAACACAGGAAGGATAATGATAGTCCCGAAGCTGGAAGGTTTGGCCACTGGCACGCAAACTAACACAAAAATGATCAAAAATGCAAACGTCGACATTGACTCGCCTGTCGCACAGTATGTGTATGAACATGATTGGTAACTTGATGTTGCACTCCATCAGCCAATGTAGTGTGACTATGTTGACTACCTGCTGCTGCGATGCCTGGGATGGTTGGCTGCAATCCGAC